CCCCCACCCATAGGAAACATTTATAGTCCACGGTAACCAAAGCCAGACTCCTCAGCCACAGCAGCGGTCTAATCACGACTGAGTCACCGACTTCATGCTTGTGTGTGTTTATACGTGCTATATATAAACGAGAGCCACGGCGTCTTTCCACTTCTGCTGGGACGGCGGCCCCAGGGCTCACAGCGACTCCAGAGTCTCCAGCTTCCTCTCGGCGAAGAAGCGGTGGGGCGTCCGGCCAGAGGACTTGCTGCGGCCGAAGTAGGACAGCATGGAGGCGCAGCTCTGCTTGGTGGCGGCCTTCTCGCCGTCCTCCTCCTCGTCGTCCCTGAACACACACAGGCGCGTCGACGCTCTACAGCATACGTATGCCAGCACAGGACCAACACATTACACCCAACCCTCCTAAAGGTTCAGCAGACCTTTTTAATACTAATCACTCCAGCTTTCTTAGGAAGGGGATCCCAAGGCGAGCGCGAGATCACACACACGACGAACCCAGCGGCTGCATATGTGGGAGGGAACCACACACACGTTAGCCGCCCGGGGTGGATCCCAAACTCCATGATCCAAAGTGATCGACACACGACTTCACAACAGCTGTATGCCATCGACATAGAACTTTAACAAGCGCTTCCCAAAAGCCTTCACAGACTAGTAAAGGACCGTCAATATCGACTAACAGTGCATTACATAAACACCGTGTCAGTAAATTATCAGAATGGCCTATTTTCTCAGAATATTATACATGGGCAAAAAACCAGGAATATTAAGCACTACATTTAAGACTTATAGCTTAGGATCTTAATAGCAGAGTCACATGAAAGTGGCTTTTTTCACCAGAGCTGCGGATCCTTCTCACTGAAGACTGCTCACTTTCAAAGGCACAGGGTTTGTGGCCGTTACAATCCAGAGAAGAGACCCCACGAAACGCGGAGATGAGCAAAGACAGAGGATTATTCCTGCTGAGTATCCGCCTCGTGAGTCCTTCACAGTCCGGTGCCTTAATCAGCCGGGGATACCTTCAGCTGTGGGATACTCACCTCTGTCACCCAGCTCAAGGTGCACTCAATGCCTTATTTATCAACACCTCATTTTTAAAATAGTTAAAAGGATAATAATATAAATGAATAGCTGCAAATGAATTAAACTGGGCGAACACGCATGACCTGGGTTAAGTATACTGTCCTCAGCGGCCATGACCGTTAGGAGAGGAGGTGGGGCCTAACAGGGACGTCATGATTAACGAGCCGGTCAATGGCATGTTAATTAATGATAGGGACAACTTGACGCATTACTTACAAACGGATTTGGAAAAGCTCCCCTAGCAGTGCAAATAGACACAGCTGTCTGGGATCCCCCCCCCCCCGTTAATCTCTGGTGTCCCCCCACTGTCCCAGGCTGGGCCTCACCAGTGCACAGGCACGGCCTTACTGTCCAGCAGCGTCTGCACTGTGCTCCAGCTGAACCTCACGAACTGCGGGTACCCGAACACGGGGTCCAGGTGCTTCTGCAGCCAGCTCTTCGTCTTTGGATCTGAGGACAGGAGTGAGACAGACGTTACTCGCTAAGCCAACCGCCATCCAATAACCTGCTGGGGCGCCTCGGGGGGGGCTCACGACACACGCACCGTTGGGGTACCCCGAACCGTAATCCGTGTCCACGTCTGCCAGGTCCTCCCTAAATTGCCAGGACTTCACAGCGTGGTCCCTCGCCACCTGAGAATAGGGGGTGATATAAAGACTGAGACATCACTCCTGGCAAAATAATATAGAGGCGGGGAAAAAAGGCCTGATAAAAAAGGACAAGACAGGTCAATGACAAGTCCTTCACACATCATATATTCCACCAATTTGTCACAAATAACAGTGACAGCACTGCCCCCCTCAGGGCATCCCTGTAAGCAGCAAGATAAATAGAATCACTGACAGTTCATCTCGGCAAACACATACGCAGCAAGGTCAAAGCGGGATTTTCCTACAAAGACTTAAAAGAGGGCCACAATTACTATTAACAGGTATGTGCGATCAGCTAACAACACGGTTAAGGTGATGTAATGATGTTACAACAGACCCAAATTATCCAGCTTTTTTTTCCAGCCGGCTCTGTTGGGCAAGGCTGGGGATGTGGGACCTGGAGCCTATCCCAGATAACTACTGACAATTCAGATACCAATTAGCCTAACTGCATGTCTGTGGACTGCAAGAGAAAAGCCAAAGTGGGGAGAACATGCAAACTCCACATGCAAACTCCACAGATGCAAAGTAGAGGAAGGGTTCGAATCCCAAACCCTGGATGTGTGGAACAAACAATACTACCCAAAATTAAATCATCCAAAACAGGACTGAACCAGTACAATGAATACACTGGTATGATGGCATGCATCCAGCATGCATGTGAGATAGCCCACCCCACCTTCCTGATTGGGTGCTGACCTTGGCACAGATGCTGGCCGCGCTGACGATGGGAAAGAGGGAGTCCGCTTTGGGGCGCACCGTCACCTCCACGCCAGGGAAGAGCTGCGACAGCTTCTCCTGGTACTTCTCCGCCGGCCCCACGGTGTCGACGAACACCTGAGTCACGGGAGGACAAGACTGAGGGCTCCTCGTCTCAGGATTGGTGGGTAAATGAGGTCGCCGGGGAGGGACAGAACTCGTGAGGGCGTCAGTTCGGTCGGTACCTCTTTGAGCTGCACGCCGCAGTCCAAAGCGTACTGCACCAGACCAATGGCGGCGTCGTGAGAGAGTGCGTTCAGGTTGTACTTCACCCTGGGGAGAGAGACACACGAAGTCAGGCAAGACTCGCTACCATTTTTAATCAGCCAAGATTTTCTGTGAGACACAGTCTACATGCAAATTTTAAAATGCCTTTGATGTTGCAATAAGTTATGAAAAACTAAATTCTGCACACAACAATGTTTACTGCCTGTGATTTTAGGGTTTATCCTCCAAATTTTCTCCCCTACATTCTTAAATCAAAATATATGGTCATACTACTCTGCTTCCTGATTAAGTGTTTAGATTTCCATCGACGCCGCAGTCCAACGCCCCCCACAGACCCTCTCACTGCTAACGGTTCTGTTTATCTCCACGTGGGTGGAGGTCCTCTGCGAGCTCCTACCTCTGCAGCATGCTGTTAGAGATGGTGTTGGGTGACAGGATCTGCAGTGCCCAGCCCACAAAGTCTTTTGCCTCGTCAATTTTACTGAACAGGTTTTCCCGCTCGGCCTCCGTTAAAGTTTTAGAATCTTGAGGGAAAAGAAAACACTTGAACAAAACGTAGATGTGGAAGTAAATCATGCGCTACACTTCTGCAACATGCAAATTCTTGGGATGGGCTGAGCGAGTGCCTGAATGCAAACCAAGTGTTTGCTGTGAAGACGGCGTTTCCGCTGACCTGCCACTTTCAAAGCCTTCAAATCGTCCTTCTTTTTGATTGGGCAGAAACATATACCATAAACCATGGGTCCTGGAAAAACATTAAATCAATGTACAAGGCACACAGATCGGGAGGGGGGGTGTTCAACAAATAAGGATTTCTCTGTTAGCTAGGTTAGCTTAAGCTAGAAGTCTAGATGATCCAATAAGAATTTAAGTAAGAAGCAGTCATGACTTCTAACTGTAAAACTGTTCTGGAGCCAGTATGACACTGGGCACCAAAATGTCTTCCTGTCTGTGTTACACCCAAATCAAAAGATATGGAAAACTACAACCATTCCAGTGTGGGTTTGGACACAAGTACTTTCAAGAGAACTAAATGACTGACCAACCTAATTAATGACCTAATAACGAACCTAGGAAGAACTCACAGCACTTACCAAGTACGGGTCCTCGACCTGCCTCATCAATACCCAGGCAACAGTCTTCCGTTTTGCAGATATCTGGCACCGCTGAGGCCAGGCGGCAGCTGACTGAGTTGTCCGCCTCAAAGTCACCGAGGTCCATGATTTGAGACTGTCGAAGAAGGACGATCATACAAATCGGCGTAAAGACTTCTTGCGCTTGTGTGTGTGAGCTAAGTAATCAAATATATATTTGGGGAATATGGTATGCATAAATTCTACATCGACTGAGTTTATGCTTCAAAGTGCATTAAACAATATAATTACTAATATTAGTATTTGCATCTTTGCAATTCATCTAGACTGGCCCAATTAGTTAAGCATCAGCACTACGCAACAACCCGCACTTTAGATAACTATAACAATACAAAAAATCAGCAAAAAAAATAGTTCTCATTTAATGCGCACGTATACTTGACAATGAATGTAAACGCATCTGCGTTTATCTAAAACAGTTTGTCTTAACTGGTTATACGAAATATTTGATTACTAGCGAACAGACAACAGCTTGATAAAAGCACATAAAAAATTGAGTAGAAAAGGTAAAATGAATGAAACACACGCTCCCCTCAGCATATGGTTAACGTGTTAAATTAATAAGACATAAGATACTTTTTCAGTCCGCAAGTCTCGCTCACTTACTTTTTCCAGTGTTGACGATAATCCCGCGCTCAGCCACGTCGCCCTTTGACCTTTTACTGCTTGTAGAAAGAAACTAGTATTACGAGATATAAATATACTAACTTGAATTAAAAAAAAATAAATTGCAAAAACATCATGTTTTCCAGAAAGTGGTTGTTAATGCATCGCAATATAGAATTTTTGCATTAAAGTTTTTGACGGTTGCAATGCTTTCTGGGATACATAGTTCTTTTCAAACAACCACTTAATATAAATAATAATAAAACTATACTATGGGACATATATATATATTTAGCGCTATGTTTTCTGTTATGCTGTATATCTATGTTGTATTCTTCTAAACAAAGAACTCAAAGAACAAAAAAAAAAACAGACGCGCGTAAATAACTGGTCTACCACTACATAAGATTTACATTTTCGTGTCTCATCTCATATCTTAATACACTAATATACTTAATATACTACTCCGTTATAGAGCATTCGTTCGCTGTCAATATCCAAACAGTTGCAGAATGTACCTAGCACATTTGTTTGGTCAGAGTACGCATGCGCGACCATGGCATCACGGATGCTTTCGCGCGATACAATCTCGCGGGATTTTAGGGGGCGTGTTTAGAGGTCAGCACCCGCCGTCTTCGGTTTTCTTCAAAAGTTCCTCCCCCTGAGCTGCGCGAGGCTGCGTCCGGACACTTCGTTTCTGCTGTAGGTAGCGGATTTTTTTTTGTAAGTTCTTTCATCCGCACGAATTTACGCTTGTGTGTTTTCTTTTACGGAAGATTAGAGGTGATAATGGAATGTTTTGTGATGATTAGTTAGATGTATTACAGATGAAGTCTGTACTGAAAATAAAGCGCCTTGGCGCTTTATCTGGGTCACGTCATCGTGTATGACCCGGAGAGGCAGAACTAGCTAATTTATATTTAACTCTGCTTTGGTTGCTCGCTTTGATAACTATTAATGTGTTTAATTGTGTGCTGTGTTTTGCTGTAAAGTTCTTGTTAACTTGTATATAATTCGAAACTTGGTTAAATAAGTTCTCTGTTCGGCGGTAATGGTGTCCCCATATTACTTTGTTGTGAACCTTAATTTCTCCTTGAATGACTTATACAATTCACCTGTGACAAACATGCGTTCAATGGGTAGGTGAATAGATAATTAATAAAGAGCTCACGGTTTCTTAAACCTTAAGACGCTATTTTAAAATCGTTGTGTTCGACTCTTTCTTCATGAAGCGAAACATAAAATGAGCAATGAAGGTGGTGTCGGGATCCTTTCTGAGAAATAGTCGATCCGCTTTGACGGCTGCGTCTCGGTAGGTAAAGCTCGAGTGGTAATGGAGATGTCCGCCTCTGGATCACATCTGCGTTTCTGCAGACATCTTCAGCAGCTCCAGAGCCTACCTGCATACCAACATGGATGCATGAATACTGGCCATACTATTGCTGGCGAAGTATCCCATTAAGTTTGTAATTGTTTTAAGGAAACCCACTCTTCGCAATGTCTGCTGGGAACGCCAAGATCGGACACCCTGCTCCTCAGTTCAGCACCACGGCTGTGGTGGATGGGGCATTTAAGGAGGTCAAGCTGTCTGATTACAGAGGTAAGGATCTGTCTAGAAGAGAGCTGTGCATGTGTGCTCTCCATGTATGAAGACTCCTCCTCACCAGGGTCTCTTCCTCCTCTTGTCATTCCTCACCTCTCTGGGCCTCGCAGGGAAATATGTGGTGCTCTTTTTCTACCCCCTGGACTTCACCTTCGTATGCCCCACGGAGATCGTGGCTTTCAGCGATCGAGTGGACGAGTTCCGTAAGATAGACTGTGAGGTGATCGGAGCCTCCATAGACTCCCAGTTCAGCCACCTGGCCTGGTGAGATTGTCCCGCCAGAACAAAGGGCTGGTTTTGGGATGGGGTGCAAGTTTCTTGGCCTTCTGCCTGTTAAATGGAGGATCCAAGTTTGTGTCCATACAGACTGAACCACATTTGCCGAACTAAGCATAGTATAGCCCGTCCCTGGGCCGCACATCTACCCCTGTAGATGTGCTTTTCTATGGATGTCATGTCTCTGTTACAGAAGAGATGGTTGTAAGAATGTATTTTTTTTTCCTTAGTTGGGCTGTTTTCCATATCACACCCTCTCCGCCCAGCCCCATATCTGCCCTCTTTTGCAGCCTTTCAGCATGTGATAACACACTTAAAGAGTGGAGGAAAAGATACTGTGTGAGACCAACAGTCATGTTAAGACGTGCATCTCTTTAATTGATATTTAATTTATATTGCCCTGTTCCCGGAGTTTCGCTTTGAAGTGTGCAGTCATGTGACTTCATGTTCTATCGTCTCCATGACTACTTTGGTGTGTGCTTGGTTCCCCCTAGGATCAACACACCACGGAAGGAAGGGGGCCTGGGCCCAATGAAGATCCCGCTGCTGGCTGACGTGAAGAAGTCAATCTCCCGTGACTATGGGGTGCTTAAGGAGGACGAGGGCATCACTTATCGGTTTGTACTGGATTCCACCTGGCCGCAGTGTGAGACGCTGCTCTTCCTATAACGTTTAGCCATTTAGTCAGGACAGGAATCTGTCTATGCTAGTGGTACTCAGTCATACTCCTGAGTGTGTCTGTTTGTCCTCAGATGTTTAATGGGGTCACGTCAGGCTCTTGCCAGACATCTTTTTTTTGTGTCTTTCAACAAGGCACAGAGCCTCTCAGCAGGACTGCAAGGTTGCGTTAGTCTGTCACCTTTGATACTAAATACTTAGACCTGCTGACCTAACAGCTGATTGTGGCCTATGGGTTATGTAGTCTAGGTCATAAAATTCATACTTGCGTTTTGAACTGTTTTGAAAGAGGTAGAATTTGAATGAAATTGTGCTGCTCTCTTTGTTAGTCAAAGGTTTTTATAAGGGAAGAATTAAATTGGCACTCAGTCACATGACCTGATTTGGTAAATCTAGAAAGATCAAGTAGAAGGAAACAGCCCACAGTGCAGGACCAGCGGTGCAGCACAGTCACCTGGCCACCCTGATTCTGTGTTCAGGGGCCTGTTTGTGATTGACGGAAAGGGCATCCTGAGGCAAATCACCATCAACGACCTGCCAGTGGGGCGCTCCGTGGACGAGACCCTGCGTCTGGTTCAGGCCTTCCAGCACACTGACAAGCACGGGGAAGGTGAGCACCTCCGTGTGTCCAGAGCAATTCGCGTCACTCATGCGGGGGCAGGTGGAGAAATGATACACAAAACGAATGATATGCATTGTATTTCCAAAGGAACTGGGACACCTGCCTTTACACATGCATGGACTTTAATGACACCCCTTTCTTAATACATAGGCTTTAACCCTCTGGGGTCTAGGGGTAGGGAACACACTTTCACTGACTGGGGCATGGTCACACGTTTCATTCAATATCATGGCAAATAAATTATTTATTTGTTTTGGCATTAAACTCATCTTAATCTTTGTAAATATGTCAGATTTATGCGAAGTTTGTGATTTGGCATCAAAGTATAGACCTTGCAAAATGCAGTTTGGAACACTTGCAGAAACATTATAAAAGTACATAGTAAGCAATAGTGGAAGTTTGTTTTGATCCCAGATATCTGATCACAAATCTCTTGGCTACATGAAGATGACTAAATGGTGTAGTTGCAACATTCAGTTCGATAAATAAATAAGAAAAACCGAACTCATGTCACTATTTCTGGCTCCTTTCATTGAATATGTAGCAACTTTCATGTGTATGAATGAGCCATTGTCACCTGGCCACGTCCCCCACCCCCTTTTATGACACTGATGGGGATGTATCTGGATCGCGTTTCACCGTTGCGTTGTTCATCAAATTACCATGCGAATGCGATTTGAATACGCGCTAATGCGGCTATTTAGAATGTGAATAGCGATCTTCGGGTGAGAGCGGAACTACACGACCCCGAAGCAGGTAAAACAAAGTAAGGTGACATGATTTACCTTTTTGCTGATTTTAACCTAATTTTATAGTTTGGTACTTCCGACAATGGACGTTCTGAAAAGAAGACAGATTACGGATTTAGTCAATGTTTTTTTTTGCTTTTTCCATGTTTCTATAATTATACTTATAATTATTGAAACCCATTCCATGAAGTTCTCTACGCACTGTTCTTGAGCTAATCTGAAGGCCACATGAAGTTTGGAGGCCTGTAGCTATTGACTCTGCAGACAGTTGGGGGCTTCTGCACACTGTGTGCCTCAGCATGCCTTGTCCCCACTCTGTGATTTTACATGACCTACCACTTAATGGCTGAGTAGCTGTTCTTCCCAGTTACTTCCACTTTGTTATAAAACCACTAACAGCTGACTGTGGAATATTCAGTAGCAAGGAAATTTCACGAATGCACTTCCTGCACAGGTGGCATCCTATCACGGTACCACGCTTGAATTCACTGAGCTTCTGAGAGCGACCCCTTCTTTCACAAATGTTTGTATAAGCAGTCTGCATGCCTAGGTACTTGATTTTATACACCTGTTGCTATGGAAGTGTTTGAAACACCTGTGGAATGTTTTGGAGGGGTGTTCCTATACTTTTGGCAGTATAGTTTGTGTGTATGTAACCTTCATGTTTATTTTGCCAATTTAGGCTCTTATTTGAGGGTAGCGTGCCATTCAAAGAGAACACTCCCTGCAGCAGGTGTCGGGGCTTAATTCCTGCTCTGAAACTGGAACTCTGTGGCTAAGAAGCAAGAGACAGGAATCTGGGCTCGGATCCCAGTTGAGTTCCTCTTTTGGCTCTGCAGTGACACCTACTGTCAGCTAAGCTGATGTAGGCTATTGTACCATGGTGCCTCCGGGGTAACAAGCTAACAGTATGTAGTCCTTGTCCTAGATGGTAATCAAACAACACAATATGTTCCATAAATTATATAAAGTATCATCTCTTGTCAAAAAGATACAGATATTCCTGGCAAAGATTGTAATATGAGTAATTGTTTTATGTCTTTAAGGTTGTACTGTCGCAAACAGAGGAATCATTATTTTGTTATTTCTTGTTTATAAAAGCATCTGATTTTTAAATCATTTGGTCAGCTCTAGATTGTGTACTAATGAACTTGTTTTTAGATAACAACATATTGTCAGAAACATACAGGGCAATGTCTAGCTATGATCACGGCCAAGCGTCTGGTTAAGAGCAGTGTGGGAAAACGAACACCGTCTTAATTTGCACAGATACCTTCAATATTTCAAGAATATATTCACTCTGTCAAAATCAGTGGCTTTACTGGACATCAAATCAACTATATGTGTTTATTTGATCTACAAGCAGAATATGCTTTTATGTTTGACATCCAAGAATTGTCACCTTCCAGTGTGTAAAGCATTTGAAATAAAAAAAAAAAAAAGAGTGTCTAGGTTTTAATTCTTGTTTGTCCAATAACGTCACATGTAGGTGGGGTTGGGGGTAACGCCACACACAATTAGAGATTTGAGTTGGACCTGTCCGGGGGTTATGAATATTGTATGTTGAGATGCATGAGATGCTGGATTATACAAGATTTTACTTTATAAACTGGGATTTTGCTATTTTGGACTTAATTTGCCGGCCCCTGGAGGATGGGCTCCCGCCTTGAGTCTGGTTCCTCCCAACGTTTCTTCCTTCTAGGGAGTTTTTCCTTGCCACTGTCGCCTCTGGTTTGCTCACTGGGCCCTTTGTGTGGGGATAATGTAAAGCGCTTTGACATAATGTAATGTTGTGAAAATGCACTATATAAATAAGTTTGAATTTAATTGGTCAGTTGACCCTTTCCGATTGTGGATGGGGGGTGGGGAATCAACACAAATGATAAAAGTTCACATTGCATCTCAAAAGGATGAATGTATTAAAATGCGACTCTCTCTCTCTCTCTCTCTCTCTCTCTCTCTCTC